CCCCCCCAACCTTCCCCTCCTCCTAGGTTGCACTTCATTCTGGATGAAGTGAAGGACAGTTAGGAATACTGATCCATCATTTTAAACCAACTTTGCCATATTAAAAGGGGAGTTACTAAAGCAAACAAAGTAAATATATCAACAGGCAGAGATTCAGGAGTCATGGTTTGCATCATTGGTTGATTCCATAAGAACATGTATTAATCTCTTGTCTCACTCCTAAATTAGATCAGCACAGAGGTAAATTTAAGTAATATGAAAAATTCTTCTGTGCTTTGGATGAAAGGTGCTGAGTGAAAGCATTATTGTTTTATTTGTGAGACTACCCAAAGAGACTATGGCAACCGTTTCTCTCCTCCTCCAACCAGTTTTCCTTATCTTTTGAGTTCCACTAGGTTTACATGTGTACTGCTGAGTCTGCCTCAGCCTTATTGGGTTGCACCTTTGTCTGGGCTTTATTGTTGTTTAAATTAAGGTGACCACTTGTGTACTAAGGAGTGGGCAGCCTGCCAAATTTGCTGCAGTGAGATCTGGATAGAGAAAGCTTTTAGTAAAGATTATCCTAGTACAGCCTTTGAAGTGCTATGCCATGGCTTGATATGCCACAATATAAAAAGTGATGATGCCTGTGATTAAACTTAACCCCTTTCATAAATAATCTATATTTGTATATACGATCAATATAAAATGATGTTATAGTCTATGATTTGTATTTCCAGAATATCAGTGGTCCCCAATCATGTTAAGGGATCCTGTTTCATGAGGTGCTGTACAAACACGTACACACACAAAAGTGATCCCCTCCTCAAGGAACGTATGTTTAGTTATGACTCGAGCATAAATCTTTAATCAAAATTATATTTCAGAATTTAAATGCAATATGGACAGGTGAAACAATGCTATATTTTCAGAAACATCTCATTTTAGTCCACATGTGGTATGCTATAATATTTGAATCTTCTATAAATGTTACCTATTAATATATGCCATTGTTGAAAGAAGCCTGAGTTTTGAAAAATATATAAGTACCATAACTTAAATTTGCAGACTGCCCTTTGTTTTGAATTTTCAATCATATCATTGCATTAGTCCCAGTTGCTTACTTTGGAGTTTTGTTTTTAATTGAATTTCCTTTCTTTGATTTGAAAAAGTAATGATTTACTTGTTGAAATCAGTACAAGTGCACTCTTTACTCAGGCTCTAAACCACATTTTTTATTTTTGCTTATTATGTCATGGATAGCTTTTCACTATTGTCATATATTACTGTTGCCATATGTTCCATTCCCTCGTAGTTTTCCATTGTAACCTAGTTTTATCTCCTTTCCACAAAGTACACCTCATGTTTGAACAGTTGTATTCATAGATCTATCTGTTTTGAAAGCTGCTACCCAAATCAGCTCTTCCTCTATGTCTGCGCAGAATTTTGCTGATTATTGAAACAGCTAAGCTGCCACAATATGCCAGAGCCCGAGTTCTCACTTTTGCCTTTCCCTGTTATCCTTCGTCCAGTCTCTTGAAGTAGTATCTCCATTCTCTAGTCCACTTCCAACACTGTTACTTCTCTCTTTGTAAGTGGAGTATGCACTTACCTTAGTTCTTTATTTCATTATTGTGATATTCATTCATATTAATGCAAGGTGGGATATGATCATGGTGGCCAAGAGGTATCTGAATGCTTTAGTGGGGAGGGGTTATGAGAGAGAAGCCCAATAATTAGTTGGGGTTGCAGGGAAGTTGATGGCAGATCTCACTGTTAGTCCCCCTATCCATCTATCCATCCTTTCTTCTTTTTCTGTATGTTCATAACCTCATTCAGGATGACCTCCCCTCAATAGCAGTTCTCCTTTTGTGCAGTCCTGCTTATCTATCTTTCTTTCTCTAAAAGATAGATGTCTTCACTTTTAGCTTCTCTCATTCCTTGGAGTCTCAGAACAGCAGAGACTCCCTATGACTGAAGAAGGGTGACTGAGCCCAAAAGCTTGCTAAGAACTTTTTTCCAACTATTCAGCTGGTCTAATAAAAAAAAATCACCCCTTCTCAAAAACCCTTGCCCGCCTATATCTTTCTCTAATTCATTTCCACTCTTACAACCAGCTCAAACTCAGTGGGTGCATCTACCCCTGTGCTTTACTGTGGAATTGACTAATTAGTTCTGCAGTAAAGCATCACTATCTACACATGTGCCCTTATTAGGGCACAGTAAATTAATCAACTTTGCTGTAGAATAGTACTGTCTGGGACAAGTACTATCCTACAGCAGAGTTGCTTAGTTTGCCAAAATGCATGAGTAGACAGTGACCAGAGTTGGCTGGGGCATGAGGTTGCTGCAACGTGAGGGCAGCCTGCTGGCTAGCCCCACACTGTAACACTTGTGCCCCGGCCAGCTCCTCTGCAGCATGTTGAGCCAGGGTAGAGCAGCTCTGGGCTGGTAGACTGACCTCTTGGGCTCCCTGCCATCCAGGGCTGCTCTGCCTTGGCTCAATGTGTTGTGGTCCTGGGTGCATGTGTAAAGGCAGTGCTTTAGAGCAATAAATTCCAGCGGAAACTGTGCTAGATTTTATGGGTACATGCTAATTGCATGTTTAGATGCACTCGGTGTGGCACAGCCCCCATCTCCCTCTCCCAAGCATATTTGATCCTGATTCCAGCTGGTCTGAAATCCACATGCTGGCTGTCTTAGCAGTTCTAGGACTGCATTGCATATAGTGCCCATTCCAGCCACTTCAGGATCCATGCTGCACATAACACTTGAAAATGCCACATGCAACATGGGTCCTGGATTGGCTGGACTGGGTGTTACTTGTGGCAAGTGTCCCAGAGGGGGCCCCATATGTGGCACAGTCTGGCCAGGATGGCCACCCCATATAGTACAGCAGCCACTGTGGTCATACTGTGCTGCATGTGACATACATTCCAGCTGTTCCATGATCTGCACTGCATGCAGCATGGGTTCCATACTGGCTGTGAGGGGAGAGGAAAGGGAAGGAGGGGTTCTGTGGGTACATGCTATACCCCTGTGAACAGGTATCCACTCTGGGCCGACCTTAACGTGGCCCGCACACCTGTTCCTGGGGCAACCGCCCACCTACTCTCCTGCCACGCCTTGTTGATAATTGATTAATAGGTATTAACTAGCAGGAGGCTGCCCTTGTACTGCCTCACTGCCAGGGGGGCACTATCTGCAGCTCCGTTTCCTCCCCTACACTGCAGTTCACATCTCGCCGATGTTGACTCAGGTCTATCCCTATTTTGGCCCCTTCCTGTTCTCTCTGGGCCTTCTCTGTGATGCTTACGCCCTCTCCTGGCCTTACCTCACCCGCACTGGGGCTTCCCAATAATAAATACGGCCCTGTCCTGGGGCTCTCCGTGCCCACACTTGGGCTTCCCAATAATACTGCCCCCTATCTGGGGCTCACGGTGCCCAACTTGGGGCTTCTCAAATGCCCCTCTCTGGGCTGGGGTCTATGTATCCCGTACGCTGTGCCCGTACTGGCACTGGGGTCCCCACGCTACTGTGGGTTCCCTATGAGGCCTCCTCCAACCCCTAATAGCCTCACCCAAACCACCGGTGTAACAAACAACAAAACACAAGCCCCTGGGCTGTAACATAAATTGAAGCCGCCTGGCTAAAACATCAGTCTGGCCTACCGGGGAACACTCCTTCTTTCAGCAGTGCCAAAACACTGCTCCTATAGTCAGGCCTCACCCTTCTTCCCTGAGAGAGTTCCTTCCCCTTGGGCTGCTGGCAGGGAACTGCCTCTGGCCTCCTGTCTGTGCTTTATATAGGAGCCAGGCCCTGCTGCTTTCAGTCAGCTGACCTCCTGGTTGCCCTGGCAACCCACAGCTGGGCTCCTTAGTCACTGCTAGGGCTCCCTCCCTAGCAGTTTCCCCTCTTCAGGAGCAGGGCACCTCAGTGCTCTGTGACAACCCCATGTGGGTCTGATCAGACTCAGGGACAGCAACAAGGAACGTCATGGGCATGGCAAGACTTCATGGGCTGTATGTTTAACGCCCTTGCTGTAAAGCAGTGAGCATCTGAAATAAATTTATATTGGTGGTGTTGAACCCTGGAAGCCTTGGCTCTGCTGTGTCAAGGCCAAGGAACTGAACATTTCTCCTAGCTGTGCTCTAGCTCATTCTCTTCTGCTGCAGCAGAGACAATGAAAGATGAGCACCCCATGCTGGCATCCAGAGGACAT